AGAGAGAGAGGAGACGGATCGAGAGACGATGCGAGAGAGAGAGAGAGAGATGAATAGGGGGATGGAGAGGAAGGAGAAATGGATTGACAGGTAGACTGAACGACGGACGTGCGGTTATACAGACAGACGGACGGACGGTGTGGACTGACGGTATGTATTGTACATACAGGAAGAGGGAGATGCGGCTATGAAATTGAAAATATCAAACATCACGGTGACGAAAATATGATATCATGGTTCATCAGAGTCATGTCTAAACGTTCCCTAAGACTACAGACGAGGTGCCGTTTAATTTTCTCATTCGGTTATTCTAACACCCGTCATAGGTTTCAGTGTTCCAGCATCTAAAGCGCCCTTCTCAGCGGTAAATAACCTGAGCATCATTAATTGTAGTGTCAGATATCGCCGATTATCGACCAAAGCGAAAGAAATGCAAAAGGCGCAGCATCCACTTCAATGCTACAAATGTAGTGTGTTCATAATTGTCTCATCGCCACACCACATTTTTCGGACTGCCAACCAACAACCGAAACACAAATACCAGGTAAGACATCATATATTTTCGCCGGCTGAGCGTCGTGCATAGGGTGGGGCGACAACCAGACCACGCTAGATGACCTAGCCTCTCCCAGTCATCTGGGGTGACCTAGCCTCTTCCTCCCGTGTAGCATGAACCACACACTGATGCCCTACGACGCCAGCTAGCCACCTAGCCTCTCCCAGGGTCCGGTCGCCCGCGTCGATGTCTAGTGACCTAACCTCGCCCGGTGCCCCCAGGGGGCCGACCCAACTGTGCACTGAGTAGACTACTGGACGATGTCACGGCGGGAAACCAGCGACCACCCCTAACACAGACGGGCCGGCGTACGGGAAGTCACGGGCCTGGTATCAGTATCAGCACAGCCGATACGTGGCGCTAGCGGTGTCGAATTCGGGGGGATCAGCTCCGATCCCAGCCAAGCCACCCGGCTTTACGAGGTCATCAGGTATTACACTGAAAACGGTGCCCTGTAACACCCCAGCCCACCGATACCCACACACAGTGAGGCAGCGCCGTGCCGGAAAACGCACACAAATAACACACAACCCACACATGGCCGGGGCAGGGCGAGGGACGAGGCGAACACCGACGTTTCACTATCGTGACGCCAGCGTCACACCGCCGTGATGTCACTGGAACACCACCGTGACGCCGGTGGACGCCGTGACGGTCGCTCGGTCACCCCCGTGACGACCCCGTCAGCTGATAGAAGGCGCGGTGAGCGACCCGCCTCCCAAGGAGACGGGCTGTCACGAACACCCCGCTTACCACGGTTAAGGTGAAGTCGCCTCGGCGCACGGGCTGCCGACGAAAGCCCCATTGGAGACAGCGGCAGACGGATGTGGCCACTGTCTTGTCTCGATGTCTGGTGCCTCGGGTAGCGAGAGCTAACGACATCGAGTTTATCGTCACCGCTCGGGCAGTAGACGTCAGTCTCTCACTCCCACACAGCTCGGGTAATCACAGGCACGCCAAATTCACACACTGCCGCGTCAGGGCGACCCCGGGGCCGGGCGCGGAACCCTGGCTGGAACTCAGCGACACCGGTGGAATGAGCGGGGAGCCGGGCCGCGTCTCACTGGACGAGAGGAACAAACCCCGTCCCACACTAAAGCCAGCCCGGGACACCCCGCGTCCCGGAGCTCGTCTAACTATGCTGCGTCCACCGCTGGCAGCAGAGAGGCGTTGCCCAAACTGACCCTGACGTGGAACTGCCACGTCTGCCGTCACAACGGCCGTCCAGCGGCTCCCTGTCCACACTGGAACGTTTGTACTACTCGCGTCACTCGGCCCCGCCACACACCTCTGGAAAGTCCCACTCGAGTCCAACGGCTCTCACCAGAGTTCGCACACTTTTCACGTGGCGTGTGGCGACACGTCTCCAGTCCAGATCTTCCTCCCTTTGCACTTCGACAAGGCACCAGAGGTGGCCGTTCGGGAGCCGCCGCCATCACCGCCGCACTCCCCACCCCACACAATATCACATCAAGAGCAGACGGCGCTCTGTATGCGTCCTGTCTGTGAGTCTGTCACTGCGCGCCGCGCGGCGCCCGGCGGTCGCTCAGCACATGGAAATGGTGACGTTGATGCCGAGGTTTCCGTTGTCGGCAAACAGCTGGGCTATGCTCGTGTCGAACACGAGGCAGTCGGACTTGAGGATGGCGCTGGAGACGCCCTCGTGGATGGAGCGAGGCGTGGCCTCCCAGGTCAGCCTCCGCCGGTGACCGTTCAGCTCCAGCCTGGGGGCGGGGAACAGGGTGGGCTCAGTCGGACGATCACTTACACACAGGTCACGGGGGGGGGGGAGGGAGAGGATAGAAGAGACTAGAGATAGAGAGGGAAGAGAATAATCGGTAACAAGGGGATGCTCTTTGTAAACGCCAGTTCAGCTAGGCCCCTTTACATACCTACCTGTCGAGGCAATGTTGTCATATAAGAAAGATAACGATAAAAATGATAAGGGCGGATAGCATCGCTCAGTTTTATTAGGAACACCTTTACTTAGGCCTTAGTGACCATTATGCAGCAGTTAAATACTATGAAACACGAACTGAACATCAATGCTCGTGACAGCCAGACAGGCGTGGCCCAAATCTCCCTCTGACCCAGACGGGTGTGGCTCCGTACTAGCTCCGACCCAGACAGCCAGTCTAGTCGCCGTTCAGTCACCTGCCACGCCTCTTCACTGTCGCTGTCATGTCCAATTTCTCACAGAGCATTTCACTCTGCTGAACACTAATGGTTACACAAACTAGTTTTAGATAAGTCATCTTCGTGTTCGTTTGTTCTTTATCTACTCATCCGCTGAAGATAAAGGTGTGGTTACATGTAGGACCATTGTCAATAATAGGACGCTCTATTAAATGCGACACTGAAAGCCTGATCCAGTGCATATATCTGATTTGCTTTCCTTTTATGACTGCAACCCATAAAGGTAAAATTGTAAATATGACAAGTACCACAATAACGCCTAGATCTGAGTCACATGCATAGCTAATACGCGACGCATGCTGGGTAGGATAATTCCTCACCCCTCCACCCACTCCCCACACGCACCTGTAGGCGAAGCTCTCCGCCTGTTTCCGTGATCCAATGAGCTGCACGATGGCGAAGAACTGCTGGTGGCCGTCGTACTTCTCCTGCTTCTCCAGCACCAGCATGAAGTGGTGGTTGTAGCAGGATTGCATCATCACCCAGTCGACCGCGCCGGGCAGGTTGATGTCGGTCGCCAGGAACACAATGTCCTCACCTGGGGCGAAATGAGAGGTCAGTCATTGGGTGGGTTACAATCGGTTCATGAGTTAACAGTGGATCCCTGCATGCCCGCGATTTCGGGTGAAATAAAAGAAAGATTCAGAGCAGAATGCAGATGCAGAGCCTTATAACATGTTTAATAAGGCTAATCACTTCTTAGCCAGACTAATCAACATAACCCTCAACGAAAGCTTGCTTCACAACTCCCCCCCCCCTTTCCTTCCCAGGAACTCACCACCCCTCTCACCCTCTCCCTAATCCCCATCCCGACTGACCTTGCAGCGTGGTGATGCTCTTGTGCGCCATGGTGAGGTGGTTCATCACCTGGTCCAGACTGCCCTGCCACTTGCAGCTGGCGCCCGGACACGGACACTGGTACGGCCGGCACTCGCAGGCCTCCTCGTGGTTGGCCTTCTCCGTGTGTAGCAGCAGCACTGAGCAGCCCGACGACACGTACTTGCACGGAAACATCACCGTCGTGGCCACCTTTTCCATCGCCAAGTTGCGGATGTTGCCTGCCGGCGGAGGGACGTGTTAGAAAGATGCGTTAGGAATTAGGAAACTAGTGTGTGAAGATATGAGGGGCTGAAGAACGCTCACAAGAATGTCAAGAATGCTGCTCAATGCATTCATTCTTTGCAGCTGCAAATCACTATACAAAATTGCACCAAATCAGAAACCTGTGAGTAGCGGAAATAGCTTAAACACCCATAAATAGACCTCTGCTTCTGGGAGCGTACTCTTATTAAGTCCTGACAAAACCACTATACCATAGCACCCTCCAAACCCTACCCTCCCACACCACCAAACTCTCCCCATCCCAGCCGGGATGCTCACCGAGGGTGCCGCGGCAGGTCGGGCAGCAGGTGAGCTTGCTGCGGCATGACGAGCACACCAGGTGGCCGCTCTGGCACTGCAGAATCGGCGGCAGCACGTAGTCGTAGCACACCGGGCACTCGAACAGAGCGGCCAGCTCGTTGTTGGAGCCGGCGCCGCTGGGACTGGCCGCCACCGCCGCGGAGGTGGCGCCGGCTAGCGGCGCCGCCGCGCGGCTCGGCTTCCGATCGCTGCCGCCAGACGCCGCGCCGAACGGCAGCTTGCCCGACATGGCTGCCTGCGGGAGCGAATGGAACAATGGATTAGCGTTGGTTACCAGAAAAACGTCACTGACAACACAATTCAAATTTCAGTTCAGGAATTTAAACAGAAGTAGGCTCAGGACCATAATATCCACGTTAAGATGAAACACAATAACTATCCATCCTCTCAACACAAAGTTATGAGGTTAATTACAAATAAAACCATTGAAATCATTTCAGTAAAATATTTCAATATTTTAGTTTCTTTAAAAAACAAATGTGAGCAGAATTTTGCAGGTGTTTGATTATCCACCATAACTGTAGCAACACAGCAGACAAATGCATTGCAGAAGCAAAATTTAAGTACAGGGTGACACAAAAAAACGGTCATCACCAAATTTCGAATGACTTCGGAAGTTTTATTCAGATCATCACCAAACTTCGGCCACTTAAGGTCACACCTATGTAGCATACATCCACCAAGTTTCAAGTCTTCACTACAAATACTTTTAGTACAGTGTGTGTTTTACTGACGCTCCACAATGTGCTCCAGGTGAGCGCCACGGCGCTGCAGGGCGTAGGCACACTTGCATCCGGCGGGCAAAGTTGTCGATAACCCGATGGCTGTGCACTTTACAGAGTGCAATGGCCTCTGAAGACAGTGCTCAGGGGGTGTGCTACCCCTGAAACGTTATTCTTATCGGGTTATCGGCAACTTTGCCCGCCGGATGCAGGTGTGCCTACGCCCTGCAGCGCCGGGGCGCTCACCTGGAGCACATTGTGGAGCGTCCGTAAAACACACACTGGACTAAAAGTATTCGTAGTGAAGACTTGAAACTTGGTGGATGTCTGCTACATAGGTGTGACCTAAAGTGGCCGAAGTTTGGTGTTTATCTGAATACAACTTTCGAAGCTATTCGAATTTTGGTGATGACCGCTTTTTTTGTGTCACCCTGTAGACAAACCCACATTGTGGAAAAATACACAATGCTTAACAACTACCCATTATGTTCTCTAAAATGACTAAGAAAATCACCAGAAGTCTGAATACACCTTAATTAATTATTAATAAACTTATCTGGGCCTTTGTTCCCTGTGCTAGTGCCTGGCGAGGTGGCCATTTTCAGCTATTGCCTGCCACAGCACTCAGCAGCCCACCTATTCCGCACTTACAAGGCTTCATCATAGGATTTGTACAGCCTTAATACCTATTCAATTTGAGTATTAGAATGCCATTCATTTAAATCACAGTGTGTTGTGTGGTATTACAAAATGGCCTTCACTCCAAATTTGTGAAAGAAAAACATGTCCAAAGTAAAATATTTCTACCTCAAAATTACACCTCGCTGCATGCATAGGTACCAATCCCGGTAAATGTCAAGTTTAAGTCCTAAGAAGAGTTCATTGATAAATTTTTCATATTTTTACATTATTTGACATCCTGAATCCAAAAATGATACTCATATGTCTCGCAAATAAAAGAAAAAAACATAATCAAACCTGACCTAACCTTACCTACTTACCTATAACCTACCAACCTACAACCTACAAACCTACCCTAACCTAACCTAACCTACAAACCTACCTACCTACAACCTAAAACCTACAAACCTACAACCTAACCTAACCTAAAACCTAAAATGTTTGCTGTTTCATATTCGTATCAACAGCGTCACAATTGTAGTTAGGACCTAAACTTGACATATACCCCAATCCCTCTCATACGAGTTGGCATATTATGTGTGTGTAATGAACAGCAACTTTATTAAAAAAATTAGACTATATTAATGCTGATCCAGGCAGCAAAGCATGACAATCTTGATGAGATCCTGTTGGTGCATAGGTAGGCACACAGAGGTGGTGCGTGGTGCAATGTGGATTTCCTGTATCACGGTGTGGATTTAGCCCGGGCCCCAGACCCAGAGTCAGAGTGAGTAGTGGCTGAACTGGGCACAGGCCCTAATTTTGTACCATACTAGCTATTGTGAGGGTGCATCAGAAAATAATCAGCCCTTTGCTGCATGTTTTTACTTCAAAAGTTAAAACATCCCGATTTGGTGGTAAAAATTGAATGCAAATTGCAATATTCACTGCATGCAGGCTGCACAGAATACCTGTGTTGTTTGGGCTTGTGTGGATTTATCACTCCAGCTGGTGTAGTTTGTCCAGTCTAGACCCAATGCCAAGCTTTGCACTTGCAGTCTCAGCCTGGATGCAGGTGCAGAGTAAAATCAGTTGCTCTTCAACTTGCTGTAAATATTGCTTGATGCATGCTGCATGAAGTGCATGAGTCTGCACGTCACACAAGGTCAAACAAGTGACCCTGCAAAGCTGTCTCTGGGTCTTCATCAGCTTCTGCAAAGCTTCTGTGCCTGTTCAGGGAGTACTTGCTCTGCCGCTGAGCACTGGGTCCTGTCTGTCTCCCTGTTGTGGTCCTGTCTGCACCTTGCATGCCTGCACAGCCTGCATTACTCACAAAATGCCACTAAACAGAACACCACCAAGGTCCCGCCCAAATGGTAAAACTCCAACAAACCAGAATCCGTCCCCGGATCATGTGAGTACGGTGGCTAATACAATTGGCCTCCTACCCCTTGATGTTGGCACCAGTGTTTCTCCTACGGTTGTACGGGCTAACCATGGGGGCAATCTCAACCCCTCCATCTGTCCAGGCGGACCAGGCAACTTGACGTGCCACCTGGAAGTGAAAGACTCCCAGCAAGGGGTCCAATGCGATCTTTGTGGAAACTGGTTTCATGCATTTTGCCAAGATATAGCCAAAGCCGCCTACAATGCACTGAAAAGATATGATGTACTGTCATTTATCTGTGACTCATGCCGAAAACTTCCAAATCTCGGCAAACTTCAGCCCAGGTCTTGCATGAGTGAGTCAGCTATGCAAACAGAGAATTGTCAGGACCAACTCCAGCCAGCAAACAATGACCTTCTAGCTGAACTAATTAAGAAGGTGAACAACCTTGAACTGGCGGTGAAAAATCATTTGACAGCAGGCACTGCTGCAGATCAAGGAAGCCTGCCCCCATCTGAGAAGCAAACACTCTCTGCAAGAGATGGCCCAACATATGCAGAGAAACTAAGGGGGCCCCACTTGCAACCTCACCCCCCACAAACACATAGTAGCTACCCTTCCCAGGGTGCACCTCAGATGATTCAGCAAGCAACAGATAACTACCGTAGAGTCGTTCGTGAAGAGCTTCGAGAACTAGAAGAACGCAAGAAACGTCAAAACTCTCTGGTCATTAGGGGCCTCAGGGCTAAGACTGCAGCTGAGGCAGCCGCCAAGTTTGGCGAAATATCAGAGCTTCTGATAGGTGAGAAAGTTGTGCTTTCTGAGGCATGTCAAATCAAGAATGATACAGATCTATACCGGGGAAACGTCCACAACGTCAGACAAAGAAATCTGTTACTTGAACACGCACGAGAACTCAAGTACACCTCTTACTCACATGTATTCATCCGAAAAGATCTGACCTATACCCAGCGTCAAGAGCTTCAACAAAGGCTGGCAACTCGGCCACGGCAGAGTGAGTGGCACCAGACAGCACCCCGCCAAGCCCAACATCCAACAGTTGATGGTACAACAACAGTGTCAAACATGCCCAACGCTCAACACCAACCAGATACTGAGCCATCAGAGACACCTGGTGAGCATTCAAGTACAGAAGAAACTGTTCCGAAACAGCTCGAAACAGGCCCCCCTCCCCGTCCACCAAGGGACCAAGGGATCACGGCCACTGAAGCTCCAGCCTGTCAAGCGGCTCCCACTCAGCCAGACCCCCCACGAAGTGACAGCCCACCCAGGAACTCGGGAAACTGAGATGGCATGGCCAAACTAGCCACACTCAAGTTTTAAACTTTGCACATTGTAATGTAAATGGCCTGTGCACCAAGTTAAACGTTCTTCAACACATCCTCAATATGCATGACACCACTGACATACTGCTAATATCAGAAACTCACCTAACCCCAGACGTTGGAGATGCTGTTGTAAGAATACCTGGTTATTCACTTCTGCGCAATGATAGTGGGGGCTCAAGTATACATGGTGTTTGCGCATACATCTCTGAAAGACTTCAAGTTGAGGATGTTGATTCATCTTACCCCAATGTCATCATATTTCATCTGTCCGCCCTGGAATTGCATGTGGTTGCAGTATACAGGCCACCCTCGAACTCACCGGAACAGAATGACATGCTAATGGCATTCCTGCGTCAAATATGTACTGGCAAAGAACTCATTCTCATTGGAGATTTGAATCTACCGACCATCACTTGGTCACTTGATTCTATGAAGCCCATCTCTTCATCAGACTCGAAGTTTTTGGACTTGTTTGACACACTTGGACTCACCCAGTGGATCCATGAGGCAACATTTCCACGATCAGGGAACATATTGGACTTGATTTTGACAACAGAATCAGACAGGATAAATGAAGTAGAGGTGAGGCCCCCACCACCTGGCTGTGACCACTGCAGTATCCACTGTCAGTACACATTCGACAAAGAAATTTGCTCATCATCACACGCACCTGGTCACATACTCTGGCACAAAGGACAATACAATAATATCAACAACGTCCTCAGCGAGGTGGATTGGGATGTTGAACTTGCGCACCTGAACGCAGAAGAGGCCTTCAACAGGCTCCTTCAAGTCCTACAGCCACTGATACGCCAATATATCCCCATTTCTAATCGCAACAAACCAAAGAGCAAAGTCCCCTGGAAGACTAATCCTCCGACATCTCTCAAGACGAGACGTACCAGGGCATGGCAACAATACAAGCGTGCTAGATCTCTACATGGTCGTAAATCGCACATCACTCAAGATCTCCTCTCTTCATTTATGCGAATCAATAAGGAGCTTCACCTCTTCACTTTCTACTCGCAAGTGGAATATGAAAAGTCGCTACTTCTGAAGATGAAGGAGAACCCAAAGCTACTACATGCTCACCTCCGCAGCAAGAAGAAGTTCCGCTCCTCAGTAGGACCAATTCGACTTCCTGACAGCACCACAACTGACAGTCCAATTGAGATGGCAGAATGTTTTGCCGAAGCTTTCGCCAGTGTGTATCGACCTGAAGTGCCGTCACACCCAGCACCTCACCAACAGTGTGATGGAGCACTTGAATCCGTCGATTTCGACTCTGCAGAGGTGAAGAAGGTGCTGATGGATCTCGACGTGAATTCTGCTATGGGCCCAGACGGTCTTCATCCCCGTTTTCTGAAAGAGTGTGCAGCTCACCTGGCTCGCCCTCTATCCAGGATATTTCATCTCTCACTGGAAGAAGGATCACTCCCCTCACTCTGGAAGCTATCGATCGTGGTACCAATCTTCAAGAAGGGGTCTCACGTCGATCCTTTGAACTACCGGCCGATCTGTTTGCCATCAGTCCCCGCAAAATGCCTGGAAAGACTGATCTCTAATGGTTTGAACATCTTCCTCAATGAAAACAACATCTTCATCGATCACCAATTTGGTTTTCGACCAGGGATGTCTACGGAGGACCAGCTTCTGTCCACTTACGAGTATATATCAAGTGAGATCGACAAAGGGAAAATAGTTGATCTTATCCTCTTTGACTTTGCAAAAGCATTCGACGTTGTCTGTCACCATATTCTGCTAGACAAGCTTGGGCACATAGGCATCGGGGGAGACCTTCTAAGGTGGCTCAAAGAATTTCTATGTGACAGATCGATGCAAGTGGTCGTCAAAGATGCATACAGCGCACCAAGATACGTCAAAAGTGGTGTACCCCAAGGGTCAGTCCTCGGCCCAGTTCTTTTTCTAATATATATTAACCACATCGCGACAAACCTTAAATGTCACTACAAGATATTCGCAGACGATCTCAAAATATACACATGCATTGATAGTTCGAACATCGGCCGTGACACTGCAAGTCTGCAATCTGATATCAACCTTCTCCACGCAACCGCCAAGTCATGGGGATTACACATGAATTCAAAGAAGTGTGTCACTCTTCGTTTCAAGAGACGCTCACACATCTTGGATAGACCCAGCTATACCCTCGATGGACGTCAACTTCCCGATTCAGTCGCCCAGGTTGATCTTGGAATACTCGTTGACGACCAACTGAAGTTCCATGAACACAGCAGAACAGTGACAATGAAAGCCGGCGGCGTAGCCCACAACCTCCTGAAAGGCACAGTATGTAGAGAACCTGAATTTATGATACACATACTTAAAACGCACATCAGGCCTATTCTGGAATATGCGTCGCCTGTCTGGAACACTGGATATGTCCAGGACAGGAAAAGGCTGGAATCAGTGCAAAGGCTATGGACCCGCCAGATAAAGGGACTTGAAGGCAAAGAGTATGGGGACAGGCTACGAACGCTCGACCTTTACTCCATAAAGGGACGACTACTGAGGGCTGACCTGATCAAATGCTGGAAAATCTTCAACGGAAACTGTCCAATACAACCTGCAGATCTATGGGATATCTCCCGTGACACTCGTACAAGAGGTCATCCGTTCAAAATCCGAGTGAGCCGCAGTCAAGTTGACGCCAGAGCCCGCTTCTTCTCCCAGCGTGTCGCCCAAGACTGGAACTCCCTGCCGACCTGGGTGGTCACATCCAAGACACTGAAGGAGTTCAAGTCTGCCTTGGAAACCTGTCTCGGAAGTCGACTATTTGATTATCTCCAGTAGCTGAAAAAGAAACACACCCAATCAATCCTGCCTGTCCCTGGTAGGCGCCCCCTCTTATCAAGCAAGAGTGGGGTTATACGCGCCAGGGACTCCCATCCCCGCCCTTGTTCCTAATTCCCTCCCCAAATCCTCACTATCTTGTCTATCCATTCTGATTCATCTCATTCTCCATATGTTACTCACTTCATCGCACATCTTAGTCAACACTTCTTTTGTTGTTGCAAATTGCACAAAGACTACCTCCACCAGCAACAACTATACCCAAGCAGACGTACCATTCCAACCCTTAACAATTGCACAGTCCAGTTCTGAATGTCCTGCTTATCTATTGTCCGGGTTGGCACGTCTCTCTTCGACACGGTTTCCTGTCTAATAACCCTACCACCATCTGGGCAATGAGCAAGGAAACCTAACAGGTGAGTTCAACAGGTGAGCAGCAATGCTGATTGTGATGCGATGCCCCAATCTGGCTCTGCCAGAGGTTTATTTGTTCACTTGAGTAATAAAAATAACAGGTTGACAGGTGTGTTTCAGCAGAGTAGGGAGAGAGGTACATATAACATGATATTCTTGGAAAAACTGCCAAATTCCATTAAAATATAAATCACAGCTGGAATTCATTCGAATTCCAAACAACGGCTACTTTAATTCTCATCAAATATTTCTCAATTTATTTACTACAAAATAATTGAGAGACTGTGCCTAAAATAAAGTACAATGCATTCTTCTTCTCAAAATGAATTACAGTGACACTCAAGGCTCAAACCCACCTCCAAAATTCACTGGGAGCCAAGGTAGACTTCACAGTAAATTTTGAATTGCTTTTGATGCAGCCACGCAACCCCTTGCTTTTCTAGAACGTAGATAAATGGCAAGATATTTTAAAAGAAAATTTACCAATGATTTATCCAAAGTTTCTAAATATGTCCAAAAATAGTGACTCACTTGCTTGCTTTACACACCAAATGCTTGCGCATGCACACCACGCAGAGCGTTCCAAACTTACAAAACCCAAATTATAGGCATATTTGGCGCAGTAAACTTACTATCAAAACTCAGTGCAGCTAATTATTAGTGTCGTTGAAATCAAAGTGTATAGTAAAGGTCATTTCATATAATTGTATAACAATGTGTAATTATATAGCAACATTTGAATCAGGATATGCGATTTGATCAGCTCTCCCAGATATGGTGACCTTGGTATAGTGTCCTGGGTGTGTAATTCCGTCGAACGGTCCGGGCCACGACACGCCACGATTTGTCCAAGATGGAGACTGTTTATTTCCGATAGTGGCGGACGAGAAACGACACAATAGAGAAACGAGTACTCGGTACTCAGTACGACGGTACCCATAGGCTACGGTCACTACATCCGCCACCTCAATAAAGTTGAACATAATTGACACCGGACGATACGCCAAGTAGACACGACACAGCTTATACTCGAAGCTGTTAAACTAATACAGAAACGCGGTTAGAGCCAATAACTGAAACGAAACAATCAGACACTGTGGTTCTGAAAATACAATCAGCGCAGCCTCACAGGCACGAACCGACGGCGACCGAACGACGATCTCGGCAGCTCGTGTTCAGCCAGATCAGAGTCAGGCACGGCACGGTCCGCGCTATCAGCGCCGGCGGTGGCTGGCTGTGATCGCGGGGGCGTTGTTCGTCCTGTAGATGGCGGTGCTGTCTCCGGCGGTGGCGCTGGCGGCTGGTCCCGGAGTAGAGTCGGTGACCGCTGAGTCGGCGGCTGAGACAGCAGCGGAGTGACGGGTCCGGCTGTGCCTGACGGCGGTGTGGCAGGTCCGGTTCCATCCTGGCTGCCACTAGGCACGCTAGCCAGGTGAGCCGCGTTCCTTCTGGTGCCGTCAGCCAGCAGGTAGGTTGCTGGGCCGAGCTGCTGGGTGACTGGGACTGGAGCCGAGAATCGACTTTGATCCTTCGGGACGTGTCCTGGCTTCTTCACACGGACCAGGTCCCCCGGCCGCAGACCAGGCCGCTTCACACCTTTACGTGCGGCGTAGTTCCGTTTGTTTCGGCGCTGTTGTTTGGCGACACGGTCGGAAATCCTCTTGTCATGTGCTGCTTCCTCTACGACTGGTAGATTCAGACGCATCCGGCGTCCATGCAGCAGTACTGACGGCGCCTCACCGGTGCTACAGTGGGGGGTCGTCCGATACAGCGCGAGTCGCTGTGTGACGTGGTTGGAGAAGGAGTCTGCTGTCCTGAGCCTCAACTGGGCGGCTTCCTGCAGCCAGCTCTTGACTTCTCGATTTAGCCGCTCGACTGCAGCGTTGCCACGCGGCCAGTAGAGTGATGACCGGTGGTGCGTGATGCCGCGACGCTGCAGGTACGTGCGGAACTTCTCACTTGAGAACTGTGGACCGTTGTCACTGATGATTCCATCGCAGAAACCTTCTCGAGCCCAGAGAGCGCTGAGCATCCTGATGATGTCATCAGTTTCGACTGTGGATGTCAGAGCTATCTCTGGCCACTTGCTGTAGTAATCGGTAACGACGATCGCGAACCGTGCGGCAGGAGGCGCTGCGGAGATGGGTCCCACGATGTCAATACCGAGCTTGGACCATGGTCGGTCAGGCAGCTGGACGGGCTGTAGTGGTGCTGGTCGCGCCTGCTGGGCGAGCACCGAGTCCTTTGAACAGCACACGTGGCAGTTCTTCACGAGAGCGGCAGCAGCAGTCGCCATGCCGGGCCACCACGCCAGGTCTCTCAGGAGTTGTTTCGACCGGACAACGCCTTGGTGACCGGCGTGTGCCAGCTCCAGGTACCTGCTGCGCAGCGTCTCGGGGACGACGACCCGTTCAGGTCCGCGCATGACGATGCCATCTTCTCTGCACTGGAGTTCGTGGCGCACGGCGAAGTAATCGCGAAGGTCCGGCGCGCACTTGCGAGTCGTGTCGGGCCAGCCGAAGCGGATTGTAGAACGCAGCTTCTCCATCACCGGGTCGGCGGCTGAAGCGGCTCGGATGTCCTCCTCCGTGAGGACGTCGGCAGCGGCATCAGTGACGAGTGCGACGACATCGTCACTGTCAGTCTCAGCGGCAGTGGTGTCTGGGAGCGGTAGTCGCGAGAGAGTGTCCGCGACCGGGATACTGTGGCCAGGCTTGTACTGGACGGTATAAGAGTACGACATCAGTCGTGACTGCCATCTGGCGATCCGAGCTCCTGCGCGGTTGGCTGACTGAGGCGACAGCAGCGTTGTCAGCGCGGAGTGGTCGGTTCGTAGGGTGAAGTGGCGGCCCCAGAGGTAGATCCGCCAGTGCTCGATGGCATTCACAGCACTCAGCGCTTCTTTCTCGGAGACTGAGTACTTCGCTTCAGCATCTGTGAAGGAACGTGACCAGTAGGCCACTGGGCGCTCCTGTCCGTCCGCCTGGATCTGAGTCAGGACGGCGCCTGCACCACGGTCACTGGCGTCCGTGGTGACGATGGTGTCCAGTGCCGGCGAGAACGGCATCATCACCGGACTGGAGGAGATCAGGCTCTTGACGCTGTTGAAGGCGTGTTCCGCGGCTGGGCCCCACTCGAAGGGGACGTCCTTCTTCAACATCACAGTCAGCGGCTGGACCACCGTGGAGTAGGCGGGGATGAACCTGCTGAACCAGGCGGTGGTGCCGATGAAGCTCCGTAGCTCCTTGAGGTCGGTGGGGTGTGGTGCACCCACCACAGCCCTGATTGCTGACTGCAGAGGTGCGACTCCGTGCTTCGTCAGGCGGTGACCACAGAAGTCGACCTCAGGCTGGGAGAAGACGGACTTCTGCATGTTCACTGTGATGCGAGCTGCGCGAAGCCGGGCCAGGACGGCATGCAGGCGGGCATCGTGCTCGGACTGAGTGCGCCCGGACACCAAGATGTCGTCGAGGTAGTGACCACATCCTGCGATCCCGTCCAGGACTTGGTCCAGGAGCTTCTGGAACGCAGAGCCAGAACTGACGAGACCCATGGGAACTCGTTTCCAGCGGAAGAGGCCGTCCATGGTGAGGAATGCAGTGATGTCTCGGGAATCTTCATGCAGGCAGAGTTGGAAGTACGCGGACTTCAGGTCTATCCTGCTGTAGACGGTGCCTCGTAGGTTCCGCTCCAGGTCATCTATGGTGGGAAGTGGATGTACCTCTGCGATGATCTGAGAGTTTGGCCATCGAAGATCAGTGCAGATGCGGAGTTTGCCATCCTTCTTGCGAGTGACAGCCAGTGGGCTGACCCACTGAGACGCGTCTGCTCGTTCGATGACGTCAGCTCGGAGAAGTCGATTGAGTTCGGCTGACACCTCCTCCCGGACTGAGAGAGGCAGACGACGAAGCTTGAACGCTTTAGGCACAGCGTCAGGCTTCAGCTGGATCCTGTGAGCGTATCCGTCGATAGCTGGGAGATGAAGTTGCTCCTCTGACGCAGAGGTCTGCTCATCCAGATCGAAGATGGTGTGCGAAGCTGGGTGCAGAGTTAATCCCAGGGCACTCAGCACATCCATACCCATGATGGCCTCCAGGCGGGGCGTGTCCACCAGGTAGAATGATGCGTCGACCTTGCGCTCGTTGTAGCTGATGATGGCAGGGAGGGTGCCATGAACTTGAATGGGGTTGTGGCCGAAACCGTACAGGTTAGCAGAAGTAGGCTCGTAGCTGACACCCTTGAACAGCTGCTTGGCACGCTGCAGGCTTAGAAGCGAACAGGTGGCACCTGTATCCACTTGAAGATGCACACCCTCACGTGTGATGTCACCGGCTGTGATGGTCACTGGACACGACAGCTTCGTTGACTTGCCCTGTTCACAAGCCAGAACGTGCAGTTCTCTGACAGCTTGTGGTCTGGAACGGCTGGACCCAGATCTGCCGCCACGAGGACCTGGTTTCTTGGGTTTTGAACCTCCACCCCTGGGTTCTGGGTTGTCGCGACTGCGACACCAGGCAGCGAAGTGTCCCTGGCGGTTGCAGATGTGGCAGACGATGTGCCTGGCTGGGCAGCTGGGATCACGGACAGGGTGATCGTGACGTCCACAGTTGGTGCACGGGGTGCTGACGGTCTGGGCAGGTTGCTGATGTCCTTTACGTGTCTCCACCTTTGCGACAGCGGGAACAGGTGGAGCGGCGACAACACCATGCTGAATAGTAGCGGCCTGCTGCAGAGCCTGCTCATGAGCCTCTGCCATGCCGAGCAGCTTCGGCAGTGTTAGGTCATGCTCCTGCAGAAGGCGCTGACGCAGAGCATTGTGAGGGGTCTTCTCCACAATTTGGTCCCTGATCAGCTCGTCCTCCATCGCTCCGAAGTTGCACTTCTTGGCAAGTCCATGCAGAACTGCAGCGTAGTCTGCCGTAGACTCATGTGACTGCTGGCCTCTCTGCCGAAACTGGAACCGTTCTACGATGACGTTGGTCTTGGGTTCGTAGTGGTTGCGTAGTTGGCGAATGGTGACGTCATAGTCGTCCTCGTTCTCGTCCTTCACCAGCGTCGGCAAGTTTTCATAAACGCGATATGCCTCATCTCCGATTGCACAGAGTAGCAGTGCACGTCTCTGGGCCGCTGGTAGAGGGGTGTCGCCACTGCGAGCAATTAAGTAGTTCCCGAACCGCCGCTCCCACGTCGCCCACGGCGTTTGCGGCGCACCAGGGTGCGGCAGGAACGGCGCGGGGAGTGGCACTCCGCCGTCGAAGGCGCTCATTGCGTCGCCGAATACAAGAAAACTGACGAAAATATAACACACGCGCTCGACATTACGTGAAAAGTTCGAAAAGTATCCACTCGTCGCCACAATATAGTGTCCTGGGTGTGTAATTCCGTCGAACGGTCCGGGCCACGACACGCCACGATTTGTCCAAGATGGAGACTGTTTATTTCCGATAGTGGCGGACGAGAAACGACACAATAGAGAAACGAGTACTCGGTACTCAGTACGACGGTACCCATAGGCTACGGTCACTACACTTGGGTGACCTTGTTGACCTTGAAAGGTCAACTTGGCGATTTGGCCTATTGCAGCCATTCTATAGCTCAGGAAGTACATAGGTACGAGACTGATCGAAACGAAAACACTACTCGCCGTCAACTCGCCGTATGCCATTACATCTGCCGTTCAGTTACGGTGACCTCAAGTAACCTCGGTGACCTTAGGAGACAGACCACATTAGTGTTCCAAGCAGCGGCTCGGTACACATTAGTGTACCGTCCGATCGCGCCATTCTGGGTAACGGAAAAATTCGGATGCAAGAGTTGAACGTGCGCTCGAAAGCCGGACACGGCCTGGTTTCCTTAGTTTAGTCATAAATGGCTAGATTGGTGGCAATGGTAGTGATCGAATCGTTTTGTCCTTGAATTTTGCAGTGTTTTACCCCGCGTTCGATGTCTCTCGGACGGCAAAGATTCTACGCCGTCCGGCCAATCACGTTCCATAACAGCAGCCGAGCCCTCGCTGGCCTTGAATAGGATTGGCCAGACGACGTAGAATCTTCGCCGTCCGAGAGACATCGAACGCAGGGTAAGTCTTGGTTTTAGTCAATTTTTTCTTTGTGTACTGATAACGGCGTGCTTATGACAATCCTGAAGCTGTTCTCCGCTTATCGCTACGTGCGATCGAAGACAGTTACCATCATGGTTACCATCAAATAATCGTGATGCATTTTGATGAATTTGTAACTGAACAATTAGGTTATAGCTTATTCCAATGTTTTTTTGTGATTTTTTTATAAAGCAACAAAAAATGGCATACGAATACGAGTACGAGTGGAGACGTCAGAGAAAAAAGTCTTTAGATTTCTCCCATTTCCCCACGTAACGTTGAACGGCCATAGCGGCCTTATCTGGTATGCGACGGCCTTATCTGGCATAAAAAATATCTCTAGAAGTCTCTAGCTAGTGTTAAGCCTATGGACTTATAGGGAAATGTATCCGAGTACTTGGTACTGCCTCCTCCAGGTACTGGCTGGCAGACGGATCAACTTTGGAGGCCCACCATTTGGAAATTAGGCAATTTTGAGACGAATGACTTTGGATTGGGGCCTCAGCCACCTTCTTCTACACGTTTCACTGAGTAACTCCGAAATTTCGGAAAAAACCCTGATAATACCTTTAATAAAGAGATCAAAATTTTGTTTGATATTTTTCAGTGCGCAGAAAACGCTTCCTGTCAACATGACTCTCGAGAATATTGACACCGGCAATACCCCGGGGTATTAGTTCTCTATATACCGTACGGTATCAAGCGGTATCGTACGGTATACTATATATGGCCTTGGTATCAAGACCATATATAGTATTCATTCTAATGCATGCATTGGAAGCTGTCTTTTTTTTTGCTCGGCCAGCCTAGCGCCAGTCTTGAGCGTTGAGCGGAGGAAGCTCTCTGCATTTTTTTTTTTAGCAAATAAGCGAAATAAGCTAGTCAAGTTCGGCTTGGCCTACCTAGCAATGGAATTTGATGAAGACGATTTCATCTTTATTGAATCTGGTAAGATCGGCATGTCATAGGTATTGTGGCTTAATGCCACTCCAATTCAAGATATCAAAGAAGTTCAGTTTTTTATAAATAGGTACAGTTGATGTCATGCGAGTTTTGGTGGATAATCTTAATGTTTTGTCAAAAAAGTTACTATCTTTTTACTATACCTATCTACTATATTCAGCACTGACAAGAGCTCGGAGAACCCACTGGAGCGTCCTTGATACTTGATAGTCACTGGTCTGCTCATATAATGACATACCTATTACCTACTACCTAGAGCAATAAGAGCAATAACCGAGATTCAAAGAGCTTGATGAGAACGGGTCCAAAAGGCCTCTGGCCTCCCAAAGTCCCGCCAACAGTAGGTAAGTTAAGGTAAGGTAAGGTATATTTATGAAATTTACTGATAGGTATAGTACAATTAACTTTACTTTATTTTGGCACCAGAAATAATCTATAAGACTATCTCAAGCCAGTGAAATCATTCACTCTGACTTGACTTTTAGCTGAGGTTGATGGGTGGATTGTCCAAACTGTGATTTGTCACTGATTGTGTTTTTCACAGACACACCAGCAGAGCAGTTGGAGACATTGACACCACCCAGGGCTGAACAGCCAAAGCATCAGCCTGCCTATGGAAAACATTCAAGCCTGGATGATGCAGAGCCATCAACATCAAAACCAAAACTCAAGAGAAGCTTTAGGACAAGCCCTGAGCCACAAGGGTGAGTGGGTATCTCATGACATACCTACATCCAATTGCTTACACACTCCCAGATTTCAAAGTTAGCCTGGCGTTTTTGTTGTTTTCCAATAATGGCCAGTTTGTTGTCCCATTTTCCATGTTTTTCCTATATTTCCATGCTTTTGTATGAGGAAAAGCTATCAAATCACATTAATCATAAACTCATGCTTAGAAGCAATCTATATTCAATGTCCCTCTATTGTTTGTTTTCATAAATTGCCCGTGTGTTTGGCAGCCTGGACTTGGCAGGTCAGTCTCGGCCAGGTACCAGCGGCAAGAAAAAGAAGAAAGGTGCTGATCCAGACAGCGAGGAAGAACGCTGGCTGGACGCTCTAGAGGAGGGCAACCTCGAGCAGGTGAGAGATCATCGATTGGACTCATGTGCTACTATTTAGCAGCGGGATTTGGCGACTGTAGCCGGCTTAAGACTTTGCTCTATCGGCAGGTCCTTGTGGAAAGCCATTATCGGCACGAATAGCTGTTGCCAATTTAAAAATTGAGATTCATTTTGCTTACTTTTCGGCCTATATTGGAAGATCGATGTGTTTAAAATGATCATTGAGAACGTAACCGTGAAACGACCGCTGTCGGCAGCGGTATCATCCACCATGATTCGTTAAATGTTTATTTGATTGTCTTTACTAAAGAAGATGACTACTTACAGGGTGATCAATAAAGAATGACATAAACTTAGCCCCCAGGAGAAGCACATAATATATATTTTAACACATAAGCAGCACACCGTTAGAAAGATAAATGTGGGACATTTGACATAACATAAACCGAAGTCAGTTGTGACACTTCCTTTGTCTACAGGAGGTGCTCGAAGAGGTCTTGCTCTTTCGCTCGGCCGGAGCCCGGCCATGACCTTCGCTCCGGGCGCCTTCTTGTATGGAATCAGCTTCTGTGGATTATTCGGCTATCAGGAGACTGTATCCTTCCTGTGGATGCTTGCTGTAGCGCAAGCCACTTCTCGTCACTCCAGATCACCCATTCGAAACATTCTTCCGCTTGATTGAGCCAAAAGGTGCACGCTTCCAGCCTCGACACCATGCTGTCAGCGGCGAGGACGGTCGTTAGGATCGGGCCCGGGCGATATGGTTTTCAGTCCAGTTTCTTGTACAGAATCGCCCACGCATTCCAAAAAGTCATTCCCAGGTTTCCTGAAGCACTGCGAAACTGGAAGTGTTGGGCTGATTTTTTAAGAAGTGTCAGACTCTCTGCACCTCGTAAGTACCGACAAGAACCCAGTATCCCTGGTCACCCTGCAGTCCAGAGTTTTTTCGTGCCTGGACTTGAGCTTGTGGCCCCAAGCAGCTAAAAAAATCGTGGAGAGAACTCAAGACCCTTGATATGCTGAATGCTGTCGTTAGTCGTCGAAAACTACACCCTCACGATGGTCGGCAACCATCTGAGACGCATGGCGCGGCACACCCGGCGCCGGGCCGAGCTCCGCTGCGCTTAGAGGGGTGGGCACTTCGAGCACTTCCTATAGACAAACAGTGTCACAACCGACTTTCGTTTGTGTAATGTCAAATGTCCAATGTCCACTCCTCTCGGTAACAGGTGGACGATGAGCTAAAGAAGATGCGGAACCCGCTGCTGATGACCGCCCGCCAGAGGGCCCTGCTCGACAAACGCTCCGGTGATGACAGCATGGAGAGCTTTCCGGCCGAGCCGCTGCTGGCGCTGCCCTCCGGTAAGACGGCGACGGAGTGGAGGGGTGGGAGCTTGAGAAATGGAGAAAGTCGGCAACGTGGGTGTCTGATGTTGTGCCCGCCCTGTATTAAAGAAGCAATGCTACGATTTTTTCGTGTTGCATCGTTGGCTTTGAGGATGCAATGGTATGGTAGTATGTGACCATGCATTTTATTATGTCTATATTTTCTTCTCGATGTCTTGGTTTTCCACAGGTTACCGGGAGAAAACTGAGATGACGGCGGAGATGGTGGAAAGGCACAAGAAGAAAACCGAACGGCGTCGAGAGCAGGCCAAAAAGCATCGAGAAGAAGAAAAGGTACGTTCTCATTTGTTTCAGCGAACTTCGTTGTTTCTTCAAATCGTTTTTGTAGTCGCGATGTTTATCGATAGATGACGCCTTTATCATGTATTGTTTCGCGTTGAGAATTTCTAAGCATCTGTTTGATAACAGGTGGAAACTGTTTGTGTTTGCACACTATACCTGCGTAGTTGTATTATGTTTTTAACGTCATCTGAGCTCAGTTAGCTGCGTTGGCGAGATATTATCGAACTGCTAGGTAAAAGTAGAAGTGTTGAGCTTGCTTGACCTACCGGTTCTCGTACTATCACTGACCGCTATCACTCGTACTCGTACTCCGTACCCTCAGAAAAAGACCGTCAGTAGACTACTGAACAAGTCCGAGTCTCGGGCCGGCCGCGGCGCCGCTAAAGCCAAGGCTGCTGCCGCCGCTGCCGCTGCCGTTCCTGCCATTGTGTACCGACAGACTGTGACTGGGTCCGAGCTGCGTCTACCGGTCGGGGTGGCCGCCCCGATCACCGCTCAGCCTCCCAGGTGGGACCGCTGTGGAGCTGTGCGACTGGGTGATGGTAGCGAGAAGGCTGTTCTTAACAGGCTCTGTTTATTGGCTGGCCTGCGATGATTCAATACCTCTTTGCTGACAGTACATAAGCTAAAATCTAAACCATAGTTATTCAACTTTCATGTGTCTAGTATTATGCGTTTGATCATGCCGGTATGCTTGTTTCCATCTTATTTGTATCATTGCCTCCGTTTTTCTGTCCTCCCAATCTTCCTTCCCTTCCCCCCGCCTGCGTTGTTGTTGTTGTTGTCGTTCCGGCCGTCGGGCCCGGTGAGGGCCCCAGCCTCCCTCGGGGGCGACACTTGCGACGTCCGCGCAGGGAGGGCAGCAGGCCCCCGGGCGGGTTCCGGCGGACTCAGACGCCGGGTAGGGCCGGAGAACCCAGCACTCCGCCAGAGTGTCCAGCGCCGTGGGCGCTCTATAGTCGGCCCAGGCGCCGCAGGAACTCGATAACCCGGCATGGGTCAGCGAAGACCTCCCGCAGCGTCGGGTCCTCTCTCCCGAAAACGTCGTGACGGACGCGGGCCGTCGCGGGGCACGAAGTCAGGAAGTGTTCCGCGTCCTCCCTGACTCCGCCGTCGCAGGTCGGGCACCCATCGTCCTCCTCCGCCCCGATGAAGTGACGGTAAGCTTGCAGGGCAGGAGAGTGGCCGGTCCGGAGGCGCGCCAGAGCGGTGCCCTCTCTCCTAGACAGGCCGAGCCTGTCTGCCAGCCTGACCCTGCCCGGGCCGACGACATCGTGGTAGTCGTGGCTTAGGTGTGGGCGGGTCGCGGGCGCCGGTTGGGAGTGGCGCGTGCTCTCCACCCACTCTCTACTCACGTGGCGCTTCAGCAGGCTCTTGGCCGCCGCGAAGGTGATGAGTGTCCCGTCCTGCGGCAGCTCAGCGGCCTCCCTGGCCACGGCATCGGCGATCTCGTTGCCGGCGACTCCCGCGTGACCGGGAACCCATTGAAGGTCCACGCGGTGGCGTCGTCCTAGTCGCCGGAGGGATAGCCAGACTTGGTCAGCGACCCGTTCAGTCTGGTTGGCCGGGCCTTCCCTCAGACGCATGAGGGATGATAGGGAGTCGGTGCACAGCTGGATATTGAGTGCAGGGTCTTGATCGGTGAGGATGGACTCGATGTATTTGAGTGTCTCTCGTAGAGCGAGAAGCTCCGCTGTGTAGCTCGACGTGAAGCGCCCCGCTGGCGCTCGGATCCTCTTCACTTCCCTGCCGCTCCTATAGACGACTGCCCCCGCTCCGCCTCGTTCTGTGCCGGCTGTGGCCGAGCCGTCCGTGAAAGCCTGGACGTCCGGGTTCGGCAGTCCGGCTAGCGTCTCCTCGGCGGCAGTCCGTCGCTGTTCGGCGGGGGCGTTTTGCGGTAGCGGCCTCACAAGTCCAGTGTGGAAGAGGACCGTTGGAGGTGGCGGTGACTCCCAGGGAGGGGTGCTAGCAACCACCAGGAACGGTTCGCGTGGGAAGTCGTCTAGGCCGGCGTCTTTGGATATCTCTTGGCCCGTCCGTGCCCATCCTCTGTCATAGCGCAGACGTTGCCGGGGGCGGTTCTCAGGGAGGAGGATCCGCTGCACAGGGTCGCCTGGTAGGTCCCGGGAGTGGCGCTCCATCGCCACAGCCGCCAACTGCCTCCGCCGCGCCGAGAAAGGCAGGAGATCCGCCTCTCTGGCCAGGGCGTCCACTGGTGTGGACGCCCTGGCCAGTTCGGCGGCCGGAACGACAACAACAACAACAACGCAGGCGGGGGGAAGGGAAGGAAGATTGGGAGGACAGAAAACCCCGCCTGCGTCGATTCGATCCCTGACGCCACCCTCCCCTGTTTTCACAGGGCGCCGCCGAAGCCACGGCTGTGCGGTGTGGCCGGCTGCTCCAACCCGCGCCGATACAGCTGCTCGGTGACTGGAGTCCCCCTCTGCAGTCTGGAGTGTTTCCGAGCAATCGCGGCGCAGAGGGCGCGGACGCAGAAAACACCAACGGTCAGCGTGACATCGTGACGGGGGCGCGCCGTGAGTGTGACATTTTGATAATTGCGTGACGGTGTTGTCGTTTGGGTGTGATCATATTTTGTAAAGCTTCACCTCATCATCATCATCATCATATCATTATCATTATTTGCCAAAATACAATAAAATGAGTAAATCGTGTATAAAAACAATGGGTTAGCCATATTTTACTTCCACTGACGAAAGAGGCACAGGGATCGACTGACGCAATGCAGTCGAATTGGCAGTGAGTTGAGACATCGGTTACCGCACACGAGCAGTCCATTTCGCGGCGACGCAGATACGAGAAGGTTCTCACTTTTTCTCGTTGTTATTACGCCTTAGCTCCCCTCCTGCCTAGTTTTCCTCTGCGTAGAGCATTCCTAACCCGCACCGAGTTTAGTGCGCGTCTAGAGGCGCTGCCGGGAGTGTCTTTTCTTCCCCGCGGTGCCGTCTTTAGTCCAATGTGCTGCCGTTTCTTCCTCCGCCGGCGCTGCTCGCTGCTGTAGTCGTAGTCGTAGTCGTCGAAGTTGTAGTCCTCGTAGTCGCCGTAGTCGCCGAACTGTCCGCTGCCGGCGCCGGCCAGGTCCTCGTCGTCTGATTCGGGCACGGTGCCAATCGGACTGCCGCCGCCGCTGGTCAGATCGGCCAGTGTGCGCACCGATTCTGGACGAGAGAATGGGACGGGGGTGTGAAGGGGTACAAAGAACATTTCGGAAACCCAAGAAATTGCATGAACTTTAAAACCATAATGTTTCCAATGACTTTTTTCCGGACAGCTCTGAATTTGGTACTTTTGTGACTTGCTTGTTTTTTATTTTTTGCTAGGATTTCATTTTCATCCTTATACAATGCATCCGAGTTGACTACATATCACCATTCGCCTCATCTGAACTATAAGCCTTGTTCATAGACATTTTGGCTAATCTACTAACCCTCTAAAAGCCAGGCATCTTCACTTAGTGTGGTATTTTATGGGTCCAGAAAAGTGGAGTCTATCTTACCCTGCAGCTGGTCGATCTGTGACTGCAGCGTCTGTATCTGCTGACGAAGACTGGCCACCTCCGCCCGAGTTTGTTCAGCTTCTAAGGCGCTTTGTGCATCCACTGCAACATGAGAGGCGTCTCGAATGTTATAACTATGAGGGGCGGCAAAACGTGTTGGTGTGGGGACGGTTGAAGCTAGCGGAGTCCAGTTATGAATGGTCGGACGTGGATGGCTTTATTCCAGATGATGAACTTTACTTTGGCGCTCGCTCATTCACAATGGAGGGAAGACTGCCGTAGCTTGTCAAAAAATATGTTCAAACATTGACACAATATTGTAATATGGCTGAAGTTGAATGCATACTGATTCCTGGGTTACCAATATCAGATTCTAAACACATTGTTGCATCCTGTCTTTAGATGCGACTGAGTTCTCTCAACATACCTCTTCCCGACCCACCGGTCTATGACCGACATTGACCTCACCTGCTGCCGCCGTGCCGGGCTGGCCCGGCGGACCGGGGGGACCGGCCACCCCCGGCTCCCCCGGCGCCCCGCGCTCCCCGGGAACGCCGGGGAGGCCGTCTCGGCCGGGCGGGCCCGCCGCGCTGGCCGGACCCTCGGGACCCAGCGGGCCCGGCGGACCCCGAAGGCCTGGTGCACCTGCGAATGTAAGTTTGAGAAGTTCATTTGTGGTTCTCGTGGTTCATAGATTTATTTTCGGCTTACCATGGCGTATGGGAGATTTTCCTTTTTGCATTTTCATCGATGATATAACCAGATGTCCTCAAATGAGGAAAGTAATGTATCATGCAAGCTCGACATCTGACGGATTTCTTATTTGCATAGAGGGCTCATAAAAAGAGACATTGACAGGCATATGTATTATTTATCCTTGTTCATGGCAACGATTGAAGCACGATCTTGTCATGTTTTCTACTTTTAGGAGCGTTTTATATCTGCCTTACCCCTACCAGAGTCACTCACCGGGTAGACCTGGCGGTCCGGGCGGCCCCTCGGGTCCGGTGGGACCGGCTGGACCGGGTGGTCCCGCGGGTCCCTCTGGTCCCTCTGGTCCTGGCTCTCCCGCTCCTGCTCCGGCCGGTAATACGGTCCCGGCGCCGGCGGGACCTGAGACCGGACGCGTACATACACTCCATCAGCGGGTTTTGTACCCAATCAGTGAGCTCTACGTTCTCAAAACAGTAGGGTCTGCACTCTGCAGTCCACACACAAGTGAGACGCAGATCAGTTGGTTCTACATTTCTTTAGTCAGTCAACGTGGTCTCGGCAGTCAGTGGGTTTGCACTTGGGATGGTCTGTACGTTATCTCTCCGTGCTTAATCATAATTGAATCAGTTTTCAGCAATCGTATCTTCTATCCTTCTTCTCAGCATCTATACGCAATCCATTCATCCAAAAAAAAAAATCACCCTCACGCAATCTGCCTTTCAAACCACCCGCTATACCAACCTGGCGCTCCTCTGGGTCCGGGCAGACCGGGCGGCCCCGGCTGGCCAGTCCTGCCTTCAGCACCTCGGACTCCGGGCGGTCCCTGTACTCCGGGTGGTCCCTGCGCTCCGGGCAGACCGTCTCGGCCGTCGGCTCCGGGTGCTCCGGGTTCTCCGGGAGGTCCGGGCGGCCCCGGAGGACAGTCGCAGGCCGGCTGACGGCGGCTCTGTCTGTCGTCCACCTCGGCGGGGATGTCCCCTCGCGTCTGTCCACCCACCGCCACCTCTCCGGGAGCGAGGCCGGAACTGCTGCCACCGCCGCTGGTTGAATACGCTGCTGTGGACATTCAGAACACGTTACTTTGTTGGATGTAGAAAGTATACATGAGTTGGATGTAGACAGAGCAGTAGAACGTGGGTTGTTTTGTTAGTTGACTCTGTTGTCGTTCTCTGCTTTCACGTCTATCCAGGCTAGGTGGCACGAAACTGGCGAACTAGACACAATGCCGCTTCATGACCTTCCTGCCGCCTTTCTCCGTCTCTCTGTCGTCTATTCTCACTACTGGGAGATATCAGCCACCCTTCCCGAGATAAGTATCAATAAATACTGACGGAAATACGCCGGAATGAGCCGAGACGCGTTTATGGCACCCTCGATGAAACTTAATCGCCCCCCAGTTCCGAACTGGGTGAAGGAGTGTGTCCCAAATCAGGACAATGGCCGGGCTCGCACAATAGGGAACGATCAGATGTATTTTATTTGGTCCCCATGGCTAGCCGGTCAGTACGTGTTGTCACATTTAGTGGTCATAAAACGCTGATTGCATACAAGAGCGGCTTGAAATACGAGCTTCCCCAATACGAGACTAACTCGCGTCAGATTTACTCCCAAGGCACCGCTCACTTATTGACAGCTACAGACATACACGTTCGAAAGCTCGGCATCAATAATACACTTAGCCATCGTAATACTTATCAACGTTTTGGTGACTGAAGATCAAATCAAATGACGAGTCACTGTATTGCATACTCCCATTGCGGTATGTAACGTCATGCGTGACTGAAGCGTAAGAAAAAGATACTTACGCGTTTGAAAGCTCGAGCTGGCGGTGCTTGAGGGAGACCTCATCCCGACGAAGGCCTCCAGCGTCTTCAGTCGACTGAGAGTGTCACTGAAGTCTTCACATGTGAAGCAGGCTGTTCGAGAGAAGAGGGTTGGGTCGTTACATAATTATTGAAAGATTATTATTGTTGCGCGCACTCACCTTGACGACTCGCAGTAAACTGCCGGGCCCGCGTGGCGCTCGGCCGGGAGGTGTGACCGCCACATTATTATTATTATTATTTTTTGCTAAACGATGCCTGTACAACATTTTGCCAGTAGTCCTATAAAAAAATCGTCAAGCACCCTCCCCATACAATACTTGAGTCTTGAGACATTGAAGTATCGCCATCATGCCGGTCTTCCCTTCCGATTTCGTGTAATTTTTATGAATTTAGTCGTAAAACTCGTCATTATCTCCCCCGTTATTTTACCATCATTGCAGTGCCGTCCCTCGAAGCCCGGACAACACTTGTACTGAATCTCATTCACCATCTTATAGGAGGTGACGTATCGCGGTCGGCGCCGCTTCCTGAAACGAAGAAAAGTGTCAATCTCAAGAGTCAAGAGCGCACCTGCCTCTGTAACTCAGTCAATTAAAATTTATTGAAGGCTGCGATGCCCGTTAGGCCACGACATGTATAGCCTAGCATATGGATGAATACAAGCTTTCGCGAGTGAATAAGTTGAAAAAAGCATTTGAAATAAACTGCGCTATTACACCAATTTTGTCGTTCTGTTTACTCACACATCGAACTGGCAGTCATTCCAGTTTCCGGTGCGGTAACACTTTGAGTAGTCGGAGGCACTGTACTCCTCCGTACCGTTCTGTACCAGACAGGTGACCCGCCGCTGTACAGACACCGGACAGTAGTTCCTGCCGCCGCAGAGGTCAAGGTCAACGACAGGTCAAAGGTCATGTACCAGACAGGTGACCCGCCGCTGCACCGTGACCGGACAGTAGTTCCTGTCGCCGCAGAGATCAAGGTCAACGACAGGTCAAAGGTCGTGGTACGGTACGAACTTTGGATGAGGATGTAGTGCTGATTGAAGTTTGGATAATACACGAGGTCATAAGGACATTTACAGGTCAAGGTCCTTCCAGTGTCTTGACCAATTGCAAACCAGGTCACGAAGGTCATGGAAAAATTGCTGGGTGGTCAGACTTCATTGGGTCACCCAAAGATTGATTTTTTCTGGTTGGCCAGATCAATGTGAAGTAACGCAGTAAGAACAGCAGTAGGAACGCTCTCTTCAGATAATGTCAGGTTTTGTAAGCGTATAGTTGGAAGCATCGGCTTAGGCACTTGCCTACTGCCGACGATGAAGCTCGATGCACAATGCACAATGCACACATGATCCAAGAATATAGCATTCCACTCTGTAGTATTCGCCTCACTTGTCAACTATCATTTATCGTTAACCATTATCCATTACGCTGCGATAGTTAACTAATGCAGGCCGTTACCTATCGCGATACGCTGCGATAAATAACTAATGCACTAATCGGTACCTATCGCGGATTTGTCGTCTGGGGCGGCTGGCAACTGCAGACTGCACACGACCTCCAGTGCAGGGACCGATCTGCATACTAATGGCTCCAACCTTGATCGCGTGAATCATTCCGTCACACTTGGTGAATGTAGCACAGCAGGAGTCCCACACTGGACCCTAGTTAGCCGTAGAAGGGTATGCATTGTTCCGGGTTTGGTCTCCGCCCTCTTCACGTGTTGTGATGATGAGTGTTTCTTTCGTCTCGACGTGGGCTATCTCGTTTCGGAGAAGTAGATCGATATGTTCGACTCTATCATAGCTGCTGCTCGCTACTACATGCTATAACTGCATGGCCGGTCATGCTCGCATGCCTGATGTCTGCACAGCTGATGTCTCTCAGCATTCACTGTGCCTCAATTCGTGCCAGATCATCGATTTGCCCCTCGACTCCCCTCTGGTCACCTTTGGTCACGTTCGGTGATGGTCGTTACTCGTTACCATTTATGGACACTCCGCGTGTGCGCTGTGCTGACTGGGTAGTCCCGTGCCTACGAGACTTGCCCGCGTTGGCACCAGTCATCCCGCAAATGACCTGAGTCATCCCAGGTCATTCAGGGTCAATCTTGGTCATCATCAGTCTCTGCACAATCGTCCGGAGTCATATCTCGATTCTCGAGTCACTCGGAGTCACTCGATGGTAATCTAGCCCCGCTCACGTTCGGTAGTTTCTTGCATATCTAGCTTAACATTTTTCTTACCACTTTACTCGGGTGTTATGAGTGCAGGTGCATAAACACTTCGACGGCTTTAACCCAACGTAGTCTATCTTTGGCTGCCGGAAGCACACAATGACTTCAAATGACCGGGAGTCTATTTATGACTCTGGCCACCCGGAGTCATTCAATGACACCAACTCACCCGGAGCCCACAGCTGACTCCACAACACCTGAGTCCAATCGATGGCTCTAAATACCCCGAAGTCACCGTGGCGACTCTGTGCTCGCCATATGCGGTACCGACAGCACAGTCCAGCCGATCGGCTCGTCGCCCCGATCCGTTCCGATCCAAGGAGCGCGGCCGGCCGGGGCTTCCAAATACGGGCGTCTTGTGTCGCCGCGAGTCGAGCGTCGCGCCATTCCGGTTTGACGTTTACTGCCGGAGTGCTGTGGTGCTCGGAGATGTCTGTCCTTCAGATGGGGACGATATAGCTGACTGCGGGTCGCGGACGACAGGTGCGCAGCCACCCGCGGAATCCACATGGACAGCCGCGCAGACACTGGGGCAGACTTCGCGGAATTGCTCGGGAATGTTGTGCTTGTGCTGGGCATGTGGTGCAAAATCGTCAAAAAATTCGTGAGCAAGGCGGGAGCCGCTACCAGCCCCGTAAAAATGTGAACTAACAGTACATGAAGTTGTGAAGCACGCTGGATTAGATCGGCCACGGGAATGGATTGGTATACTTACAGCTCTTTGGTATTTAGTGGTACAATCTGTTCGGTATTAAGTGGTTTATATTTTTGTGGGTCAGTAAAAAAGGCGAGCGTTCTAGCTACGACCATCTGTCTCGCTTGAGTAGTTTGCTTGGGCGGCTGGAGGAAGTGAAATTCTTCTTGAGCTATAGTCTGTTCCATATCAAGCTTGCAGTCGGAGTTTCTTCGGCAGATAGCTGACACTATGTATATAGCTGACACTCATGCCATCCTTCAATCCCAAACATTTAATAAGTACAGATATAAGTTATAACTTTGGTTTTATAAATTTCGTAATATCGATATCTTTTTTTTAGTGATTTATTTCTTCTCTGACTGCACTATAACACTGAATTCTTTGAATCAGCTCGAGCATTAGCTGCCTTCACTGTAACCCAGCTCAGACGGTAGCAGTCAGTAGTCACGTTCACGTCCGGAAACACCTCCCATCTCAGGCAGCCAGCACTTCCTCCCCTCCCCTCCCATCCCTCTCAGCCCTCCCCGCACTGCACACCTCCCCCCCCTCCCCCAGTCCCCACCCACGGCACCTAACCAGCTGACGACTGCTCAGTGCTCACTGCACCGCTCGCACGTCCGTGACTCCGCCGGTGGCCGCCCTCAGGTCAGACGGAGGGCGGGGGTGGAGGTATTGTCCCGTGGCGCCCGGGCGACACGGGGGTCCGGCAGCGCTCAAACGGCGCCCACTGCTGCGGATGCGGCTGGTACAAAGTCCGCATAGGAGGCGACACGGAGGTCGGATTTAATGGGATGAATATGCATAGTCACGTTAGCGCTGGATGTTGATTATATGAAATATATGGTACAGGTGTATAGGGAGCTGTATCGGGCTGCAGAATGTGCCATTGGAGTCGAGACGAAGACTTCTGCTGTAGCAACCTGAAATCCTGTGGTTACATTTTCAGGTCTTCATTGCATTGGATCGTTCTTCGAGTTCTGTGACAGGCACGGAACTTCCTGATTTAACCTGACCTGATTGATTTACGTGGATTTAACGTCAAACCGAATTTCGCTCTGCGGTGCAAATGAGCGTTTGAATTAAACTGACTCTTTTACGAGTGACACTGCTTCGCAAGGTTAGAACTTGGGTGTGGTCATATTCTGCAGTTTGTTCCAGTAACTCGGTGGTTCTACGTACTGTATGAGGGGCTGTCAAATTAAAACTTGACCTATAGGTCTATGACCAGTAGGTATGATGTCAAATATACGTGACGCATTCACACTGGACGTATGTACATATCATCTACGTGCAACTTGTTACGTTAGCATCGTGCACTGATTCTATATTCGTTCCATATTTAACATGTTCGGTTTAACAGACGACTGAAGTTGAATTACTGCATTTGAGCCGGGACAAATTTGTCACCCCTTTTCGATGCCTGATCGAATATTCAGCCCTATTTGTCTCGTGGAACTCCTGCAAGGTAAACCGCTGATGAGATCTCCAGAACTGGTTCAACGGCCTGGGATGGCCATTCCATCGTGAAATTATCACCCCCATTTGCATACGCGCAAACCTCATCGGGAATTACCTCCCAAATAAGACGGCGATCGATAACCAGCCAAAGAGCGAATTCATAATGCCAGACCAATTACTGTGCTGCGGTCTGGCAGCTGGCTAAACTAATGACGTCATATGGGGTGCCAACTGCGCCACAAATTGTCTCCTCGCCTCGGACTGGGACTCACTAATCGCCGCCTCACGTCACGAGTCGTTCTGTCGGCTCCGTCTGTTACGGACGATAGGGGCCAGCTGCTAGGAGGGAGGGGGGGGGGGGACGGCACAAGGAACAGGAAGGCAAAGCCCGGTAAATAAATACAGAGGTAACTCGTTAGCAAAGAAACCAGACGGCCGTCCTTGATCATCCATCGTGCAAGTAGCGGGTTTGGAGATTGTTTATATCATATATCGCTCCGTTGATTTGCTGTATTTAGTCTCCGACAGAAGATTATGACATTTGAAAACAACTTGTTAGCAGTTTCTAAGAGCAAATGATGCCATGTTAAAATAAAACAATATTGCCAAGCCAGGGGAGAAGCATGTTGTACTGAAAGAAGGCGTGTTTATTTTAGCTCCAAGGAAACGTCTTGCTCAAGGTTTTGATTATTTCTAACTGCAAGTCTGTCAATGGTAGACCATTGTGTATATCAATTGTGGAGCATTATGCAATATGCAGTTCTTGCACTGCGCAGGCTGCATATGCGTGCCACCCAGGTGACATGAGCTTACCTACGCATATTCTTGGAAATGACCTGAAAAATTGCATTCACATCTTTGACAGACAAGCGTACATACATCAGTGCACCGTAGAATGAGAGATACGCATTGGTGCTAATGTTGAAAGTAGTTTCGTAACAATAAAACTCACCGTCTGAGATTTCAGGTCGCTGCTCACCATTGAACATGATCCTAATATGGCGCGACATGACTATCTCATATGAATCGTCTGACAATCTCCACTGTAGAGGCAAGCCATATACGCCTCTCCCGTCTGCGAGCTGCATTTCAAGCGAGGCACTTACCACCTGACTGCGACGCGGTTCATGATATCTTGATCACGCTGTTTTGAAAAGTGACTGACGTGGTCATGAGTGGTTACGTGCCGCAGCATAGGCGTTTGAAAAGGACAGACGCGGTTGCTTAGTGCTTACACGTGTTACACGTGTTGCGTGGATAAACGTAGTGCAAAAGACGATTGTACGTTCGGATCTTCATGTTTTGTGCAAATCTTAGCGAACATGCACATGATGATCAGACCGATGAGTGTTGTTTGAGACTTTTCAATGTTATCGCAACAATTCTATTCAACGATGCATGTGTGGTTCTGCCGTTAACATTTGTCTATATGATACGACTCCGTATAAAAATTCAGCAGCAGGTAGTATGTAGTTACAACAAATGCCCCAGCAATAACTTACTCAAAGAATACAGCACTGTCACGTAATAACTGACCATTGATTGCCTGTCCCAGGCTAGTTACAGAGCGCGCCGACCGAACGTTTTACCGCGATGTCACGCCGCCTAACCGTCGTTACAAAAGGGAGGGCTGATCTGTATGCAGTGTCTGTTCGTTTTGTCTGGGGCTGACCGTGACTGCTAGAGCTTCGTCTGTGTGTGACGGTGAACGTCATAGCTGTGTCATTCATCGTGAGACCAGAACGTGATTCGTGATTCGGGAACGAGAATAACACAACTCTGCAGGCATTGTAAACAGACCGTGAACACAACACCTCATTTTACAGCTCGGAATTCAGAAATATTGTTCATCCCTCACAGACTATATCAGTTGACTTTGATTCTAGGCTGTGCCTCTATCATGCAATGACGCATGTCTATGGTGAGCATAGAGTGACAGGAACCGGCCGTCACTCAACTTGTGTGATGCGGCACAGCCTATATATCATTCAATGCAACCGACTGTCTGGGAGAAACAGAACATCATTCCGTACTCAGCTGTACATGACCGTGCGTACAGCAGCCCTGTATGCAGCTGCTCTAAACACAAGAGCCCTGCAACTAGCCGTGAACTTCACAGCTGGCCGTGAACGTCTGGTCAGTCTGGCCTCTGATGTCGTCTGGTGGAAAGACAAACTGCTGGTCATTCCGTCTGGTGTGAAGGTGGGGCGGCGGAAAGGGGTCAGAAGGGTCAGGTAGTAACAAACAGCGGGGGTGGATTAGGCATGGCATTGCACGCCAGGGTGGAAGGTTAACGCCGTCGAAATGTCGAGAAACGTCGAAGGTCTTGATGTTTCTCCATGAAAAATACTCATACTTCTGTAATGAATCATATCAACAGCTTTTACATGTCGTTTCTTCTTGTCGGTCCACTGCATGTTAGGCCCTAATGTCACCGGCATCAGGCATTCCCAATCCCTGTCCTCCTTTGTCCGTTTAAATTCCGAAGCTGTTTGAGCCGTGGTCCTGTTGAACAGTAAATTCAATCCCTGCCGCCACCTGACGTGGCAGCGTGAAAGGTCATTTTTGCCACCCGTAGGTACTTGGCGGCATAAATGCCTTGATAAAGCTGCATTCCTCTTGCAATAGTGCCATTGCATCTGCTATCATGCCTTAGCAACAGGGCGGTTAGAAGTTTAGAGCCAGGCTTTGCCTAGGTAGGAAGTCTGTTTCTCCAGAAGCCCTGGCCTCGGTTGCGACTTATGACTGCTGCTGCTGATAAAACTGTACTTGTGATGAGACGATAGGTTCTAAGACAAGTGCGCTACCAGTCACGACTCCACGTGCCAATGTGATGATTCATGTGCACGTCAGGATAGCAGTGTTTTGATAGATTGTTTCTAAAGTACTTCCTTCGGCCGTCAAAAATGCAAAGATTGGAACAAAATCATACGATTGCATCGCAACTAAGACAGTGATTAATGAATCGCGCTGACATGGGACCGTTATGATGACGCTGGAAGACGCTTAGAACATTTGAATCATCAAATCCGTCTAATACCTAAGTTTCAAGCGTTGCCAGATCATATAAACAAGCAAAAGCAGACAGGCATTTTTCAGTTTACAAGCGCGTTTTTCTAAAACCACTTGCCCCATGGAACCTTCCTATTTGCTTTATAGGAGCTTCTACTAAATTCACAAGCATTACGATTTGGTAAAGACTTCAAAAGCACAATCAATGAGGATGATATAATTCGCAAGAGTGCTGTAAGTGTACATCGAACAAAGGCACTTGTCACTGAGCCGTGCATTGGAGTTCGCCGTTATTTTAAAACCAAGATGTTATAACTTATGCACACCTACAGGCTACAGTTGAAGAATGATGCGTAGGTATGACGTTTATAACATTAACACGTATCCTTAAATCAATAGTTGTGCTAAAACTAATTTAATGAATTAAGCACACTGTCAAAAGAGGTTCTGGAAATGGATATATGCTCGCAAAAATGATCAATTATATAGCGTTTGTGGAGAAAATAAAAAAGGAATGACTGCACTCACCCGTGTCTCCGTCCGTCCGTGAGACTGGCGGCGGTGAGCAGCAGTGTGAGAGCCAGTGAGTTCCGGTGAGCTGCCATGGCCGGGCCGGTCACACGCGTCGCCTCTCGCCGCTCGGAGGGGCTCACCACCGACCGCCGCGACGGGCGCTACCGTACTGACTGGCGCAGCGGCCGGTCGGAGAACATCTCACCCGGCCGGCGAGGTGGGAGGGGTGCTGGCGACCCGATGGCGGGAACAGATCTAAACTCAGGCGGTGGGATAGGAGGAGTCTCACCTCTTACCTCACACGGTGGTTAAAGAACTTCTTTCCCCTCCCGCGAAGTGGACCACTTCGCTGGAAGAGGAGACAGCTTTACCCCAAAGGATATAGGAGATCTAACTTCACCTCCTGAGATAGTAGGGGACTAACTTCACCCGTTGGGATGGGAGGGGATCCAAATTCACCTCATGGGATGGGAGGGGATCCAACTTCACCTCGTGGGATAAGAGAGGAGTTAACTTCACCCAGTGACAGTGAAGAGATTAAGCGTCACTCGGCTGGCGGCAGGGGAACCTATCTTTACTCAAGCGGGCTAGTATAGGAATTTAGCCTTCCCAATTTTCATGAATTCCTATAGCACCTGCTACGGTTTAGGTCACTTAAATTGAATTGAGGACAAGTCAGTAAAGCTCCCACAGTCCGTGCCCGTCCATATCCCCTTTCTTTTGAAACGACCAACTGACGAGTGACGAATAGTGGGAAACCTAAGGATTCACTGTGGAAGAAATAAAAATACGTTGAACATTCTTCCTACGAAGAATTTTACACAGGCAGCCCCTCTGTTCTGAGTTCGGACCATTTCGGACCCAAGCGACATCGGCCGTCCGGTGCGGACCGAACGCAGTGACCTCTGTAGGCCCAATTCTAAAACTGTCTCCGGTCGCCTACTGCTGGAGCCTAAAAGTAAACAGTAACACGAAGCCACTGAAGAATCGGTGAAGTAATATTGCTTTGTGATCAAGCATGATCTAAACTGTATGTTTTTCTCTTTTACCGATGTTAACGTGCCAATGTGCAGTTATTGAAAAGTGGTAGGTAGTAGGTACACGTTTGTCCTATAAAAATGTTCATACCTATATACTTACCTACTTAACTTACCTACCTACCTACCTATAGAATCGTTGTGTTACCCATTTTTTATTGTTAGGAACCAGACACGTTAAATACATATTTATGTATATTGGCACTACATGAACACACAATGCACCGCTAAGTTAGTGGATTGATAGTTTATAGGTTCTCGTTGTCGCACAAAGCTCCACAACACTTCTAACATTCAGCATAACACCCAACGACTTAATACTTTAATGTCAGACCATGCGGCTCCTATAATTGCTTTAAACAATGTAAATGTCATTTCAGTACGTCTTGTGTGATAAAAGTCGATCCGCATGCACGCATTATCACCAAGGCACAGATAGGCATTTGACACTTCAGGTTGATTAACGATGCTCGACGCTGTGAAATGTAAGATGTCCTAAATTGTAAAGTCGCTCGTGTTCTAGTTTGTCCCAAAAAAAAAATGATTCTGATGTTTAGACGTTTTAATTAAGGGAGTCCTTAACCTCTCCTATGGCATACGTGCGTGTTTTTACCAAACTGTGTCATGTACGAGTAAAGCCAACGAATGGTTTTCGTTTCCCTTGCAACCTAACAATAAAATAAAATGTGTATAACCCGGGTAGCGATAAATATGAGAGCAAATCAGACAGTGCCCGTAACGTTAATATTTTTCAAGTCATTTGCACTTCCCAGATGCCTGCGGACTGCAGAGAATATCACAACGGCGCTTCAGCACAAGCTGCACTGGCCCGGCTTTTCGTCACAAATAGTCTGTCTTCCATCACATTGCCACCCAACCGGCCACACATCTCTCTGGGGTCACTCAAGCGGGTCGTGTCCCTCTACTTAGTACTCGCCGGGGTCACACAGGAGGGGCGTGTCCCTCCAGCTGATACCACCAGTACTGTTCCGGCCGGTTGTCGCAACTCCGAAGACTCAGTCGCGACCCAGGCTCCCGCGTCAGACACTGGGCGGATTCCACGTGTACCAGTCCAGAGCCCTGGAATGTAGGAACATATACAAGAAGATATTAGCCGTTTTCACGACAGGCTATTCGGCGAGTGAACCTAATTTGACCAAATCTGCACCTAATCTCTTTTACAGCAAATATCTTTATTTTATGAATTTATTTCAGTGTTTTAATCGATGATACTCTTTGAGAATATGACAAAGCAGGGATATAAGCAATTAGTGCAGCCCTCTAGCTGATAGCTACTAAGAGACACAGTGAACCTAATTTGACCAAATCTGCACCTAATCTGCACCAAATGTGCATCAAATGTGTACCAGATGGCCGTCGTGAAAACAGCTAATGTGAATAAAGTTATGAATGAACATTCTCCAATGCACAAAATGCATAGTTAATCGGTGTACATCAACCTTTTTCTTTTGCGAGTAAATAGCAGAGCTTCATTAAACACTTTATGAATTTCGATTTACACCAAAATAATACACGAAGAGCTCGTTAACAGGTACGATGATAGTTAGACAGATGGTGTGACGATAATTATTAGACCTACCTGTGTGAACACCCACTCCTCGCGTTCGTCTTTGCAGCCGCCCAGTCGAAGATCGGAGCCCACACAAAACTCCCGCTGAGATTCTTCACTGCTCGGCACAGGGCTGAATAAATGACCCTCAAAGTCCATACGGAACCTCTGCCAAGAAACAAAGTCAAGGGAGCTGGATGCCAAATGCGTTGAAGATAGTTTCGCAAAAATCGGTAACGATGCTGCTGAAGTGATTTATGTATTGATCAATATGCAATGTCGGCTTCAATTTACCTTTAATGAAGAGCTCGTATGGTCAATTCCTTTTGAATGTTGGTCGTTCTAGTTCAGTCGAGGTAGCTAGGGTGGATATGAATATTTGAAGAGTGGTCACTTCTCCGCGTTCGATGTCTCTCGGACGACGAAGATTCTACTTTGTCCGGCCAATCCCGCTCAAGCTGCGGTTATGGAACGTGATTGGCTGGACGACGTAGAATCTTCGTCTTCCGAGAGACATCGAACGCGGAGTTGATGTGACCGTGAGCAGACCTTAAACAACCTGGGGCTGACATGTTGCGGCCGTGACATGCTGCCCTTACCTGTGTGTTGTCCAGGTTGTGGCCATACTTCTCGCAAGGTGCCAACACCAGTGGCCTGGACGGATTGTTCTCAGAAACGTCTAGTTCGGGCCTCCGTATGCACAATATTTCTCCGGCATCAACGTTGTAGAACTACCGGGAACAGAAAAACATGTCAAAAGTGTGTCAAATAATCGATAAATACATTCCAAAGGTTGACTCATTTTAATTTTTATGCTCTCATGTTGACGAAGAAAAGCGCTTGAATTTTCCCAAGCTAGACTTGACGAAGTTATCAAGGTTTATAACATGTTTGCTCAGTCTAGCTCACCTGCCCGTAGTCTCTCCGCTGACTATTCCGCAGTGCCAGGAAGAGTGCCATGATGAGGAGCTGGAGCAGGAGCGCGGCCAGGGAGAGAGTGAGGGAGCAGCGCCTGACCATCGCTATCCTCAGTGGCTATCGCCGCATCCCTCGGTCGCGGCTCATATCACCGATATCATCCCCTGACGCTGGATCATGGTGGCTTTCAGAGATGGTCCGATCACATCCCTGGCAGATGGCTGAGGGAGGAGGGCGAACCGGGGAATTAAACGTCCTTATTGTCTCTGATGACTTCTGTTAGCGGCACATGTTTTATTGGACATCTGTCTAGTGTTACATGCTTGAAAGATTCGCTAAATACAATTTGGTGAGATATTGTAGGTATATCATTGACTGTGTCTTCGTCAAAATTATATCCTATTTTCCGGTCCCGGAGGATTCCCGGAGTGTTGAGGATGTCCATAATCGCTCGTTCTATTTTTGCACCGCAAAATACAACTGCATCATATGTCCGCATTTTGTTAAAAACGCGTACCCGCAGAGAAGTAGTAAACCACTTCCGTCGAAATTCGCATCAGGCAGCCTCCGTCGCCACGCCACCGTTTAGCGTCAGGCTCACCACGCTATCCGACAAGGTCAGTTCCCCGACCACGCAGCTCTATCGTCCAACTCCTGATAACACACTGCCGACCGATAAGCCCCGCCTCCTGGCACTAACCTTTGGAGCTCCGGTCTCCGTGAAGTCAGAGCGCGACCATCCTAACACCGCCTTCCACTAGCCATCAGCCGACACTACCGTCCGTCCAACGCTCGCACGTGTGATGGAGGGGTGCCAAACTACACAGCTGGTGGCGGGCGCCCACCCAACGACCCCTCCCCCGGCGGCGGGCGACTGCCCCTCCCTTCACCTGTAATCCCCCCCCCCCTCAGACGGCGGCAAACAATCTGACCCTAGGCTGGCACGATCGTCCCCCCTTGCCCGCAACGCTCAACACGAAATTGAGCACGCATATACACCCAATTGACCGTATACTTAACGAAGCGGGCGGGGACGGGCAACACGCTAGATTGGAGCGTATTACCAGTCTTGTTTGGAATAGTTGATCATGTTTGCTCCAACGACGATAAGCCACGGTTTCAATAAAAGGGCGAGGGAAGATCGCAAGGCAAAATATATGAGGTGGAGTTCAATTGTGCAGGTAACCGACCTCCAGATACATTACGATCGAGCAAAAACAAAGTTGAAATTGCAGTTATTTATTTACACCACGGCCTAATAAGGCACATCCAAAATAAACATGGAAAATGTCAAAAATGCGGAAGCATGGCACATTCTGAATCATGAGAAGACCCGGGTAGAAAAAGGCTCCAAACATCAACAACGCCAATAAATTAACGTCACCGAAACAACGTCATCGTCGATCTTTGACGGACTAGAAAAACGGCCAGTACCGCTCCACGGCGAAATATCCAGCGCAGTAGCAGATCACGAGCAGCGTCAGAGCGGCATACATCCACGGCGCGGCGTCCAGTCCGAACAGACGTCCTGTGATGACGGGACACGGCTCCAGGGGTGGCGTCCACTGGGAGCGGGACGCTGGCCGCTCCGGAGCCCTCTCCGGTCTGTCGGCGTCCTGTTCGGCGCCATCACGCGGCTGCAGGGGCTCGCCGTCGTCGTCTGCGTCCTGGGCGCCTCCCTCGGCGAAGTTGGGTCCCGTGGAGGCGTGGCGGGCGTGGTGAAGCTTGCCGTCCTTGGTGAGACGAGAGCTCTGTTGGCGGAGGGGTGGGGTGTCAGCGGTGCAGAGGGCAGCACGGAGGCGTGTAGGTGGCAGCACGGGGCCGTGTAGGTGCACGGAGGAGCGCACGGTGGGCGCGTCACCGGTGACTGCCCAGTAGGGACGTAAAAATCCCATGTCACACATGCATTGACGAGCATATCGCTGCGAAGAAAGATTTCCAGTCCATCGCCCAAAAGTACCTGCCAGCGCAGTAGAGCGGCTAAATGATCTAAAAAATGAGCCCCGAAATAAATAACCGAGCCGTTGCTACCACCAGACACGCTCAAACTTACCCTGTGTACCATGTAGATCACCATCATGCTGTAGACAATGACGAGCGGCAGCAGTCCCAGCGATTCCGTGCGCGGCACGAGCTGAGTCTGGTCCACCAGGATCAGCACCAGCGCCTGGCACACCCTCAGCAGCACCATCAGGAGCACGGCCGAGACCGCAGCCTGAGCCTGCGCCATCAGCCGGTGGCCGCGCTGGTACTGCGGCCGAACGTACGTGTCCGAACTGATGTGCGCCTGACCGGCGATATTCCCCAAATGAATCTGAGTCTTCTGCAGGATCAGATCGAAATACTTGAGCGACAGCGTGTGCGCTGCCAGCACGAAGAACATGACGTTGTCGTGCACCAGTTTGACGACGAAGTTAAACACGTCGGCCACCAGCACGACGCCGGCGTGTTTGGCGTCTCGCGCAGAGGCGGCGGCCGTGCCGGCGGCGGTGCCGGCGATCACGCCGTCCCCTACCAGGGTGCCGACGGCAGACATCAGAGCGACGAGGACAAACAGCATGGAGAGCAGGCGGCGGTCGACGCGGCAGTAGTTGATGAACCGCTCAGAGACGGTCGGGTACTCGTGCTGCTCGGTCACACAGTCGTACACCTGGAACAAGGAGAGGGAGACATTGCGATTAGTAATATTTCTTCAAGTCAAATATTCAGTGCAGTCATTTGTGATTTTCCAAATACTTGCAGTTATCGCTCACCCCCGAATCATCCCGATCATCCCGAGAATGCAGACCACTTCCATCCCGATCACATTGACATCCCGATCACATTAATATACACGCGCATGGGCAAATAAAATTCATTACTGGAGTACGTCTCCCGACACGACACTATAAAATTCAGTCTTTCCAGCGACTCTCCAAAACGGGCAGACCGTTAAATTAGCGTCACCCGAGTGTATCTCTCACTACTTACCTCCGCCACCACGGTGATGAAGTCGGGGTGTTTGAGACAGAACCACGACACAAACACGGAGATGTAGCCCATGAGGAAGATCAGTCGTGGCAGCAGGTACGTCCAGACGAACGAGTGCTGGCACACGTACTCCACCACGGTGTTGTTGTCGGGCTTCGTGTCCGGGCCGAGACGGGTCAGGTAGGTCCTGCGAATGTGAGAGTCACGATGAGTATCTTAGTGAAAATTAAACGATGAACAAAGCCCGTGGTGTAATTCGATAATTTTGACTGTAAAAATTACCCTTTAGTTTGTCAGTTTTTCTGTTTCTTTGCATTTCGGGTCCAAAATTGAGCAGCACCAGAAGCTACGCATCAGCCGACGACCCTATAGAGTTAATATAAATTTAAATCCCCTCAGCCCGTTCAGATTTCCTTACCTCTGACAGCGGGCCCATTGGAGGCCGATCCCTCCAAGCGCGATCAGCAGGAACACCAGCATCCAGAGGGCGGGACAAAAGCGGCGCAGCACGGATGGCTTGGCGCCCAGCCGGTCCCCGACGTCGGGCAGCTTGGCGCAGGCGGTCAGCCCCAGCAGCCGCTTCCAGGCGTGCAGCAGCTGCCGCAGCGCCTGGGCAGCCGCCTCCAAACGGTCCACCGGCAGCTTGGTCTCCGTCTGAAAAAGGCGAGAGAGGGGCGCATGTAAACGTCCCGATATGCAGCTCTGAGCCAAAAGGGAAAGTATGCTGTGTCGCGTCTCACCATTTCATTATTACTCTACGCATCTGTAGTCTGCATCGATACAACCTGCTACGATACTGTACATTGTTTCGTCTAAAACATAATAGCTAAAACCTCGCACTCAAAGCGGGAGCCCAATAAGCCCATGTTTTTCGCGAAAAAGCGGCCAAACGCGATGAAACTTTCAGAACCCTCAAGCTTTAGGTACAAATAACCCGATAATTTGATGTTCGACTAAGACGACCTTAAACCTGTGGCCTGTTTTTCGGGACCATGTCTGTCAGGAATTGCGATTCGGCCCTATGTCAGCGCACATTACCAGTTCATTTCCAGGCTTTTTGTGCTTTGTCCGATGCATTATGATGGGTGTCAAGGTCAATTGTAGGTCAGGTCAAGGTCATTGACCTTTGACCTCTGCTTGTTTTTTGTTTGTTCTATTCTATTAGGTCAGTTTTTATCTCAAGTACTGTTTAACCTACAGCAAAACTATAGCCAGCCCCAGTATGTACCCCAGCCTCTGCACAACTCACTCTTCGGGAGGTGATAGGGATCAGGGCACCTATCCGCCGCACCACACACTTGGCACTGGGCATGTCGGCGGCACGGCCCTCCCAGGGCCGCTTGCGCCCCTTACTGGGGCTCTTGGCGTCTGAGGTTGTCCGTGGCGTCGACTGGGGTGCTCGCTCAATAAGATCAACGTCCTCATCCACCATGGCATAGCGCCGGGTCGACACGCGGTCAGGAGAGGCACCGGCCACCGGCATCGTGCAGTCCGCTTCTGACCGGTCGTGGCGCTCCACCACGACCTGTGGACGCTGCCAGGACTCTGCCTCGTCCTCCGGACGCCGCCAGGATTCATAGTCGCCCTCGGGGCGCCGCCAGGGCTCTGATTCCTCCTCGCCGCAGTAGCCGACCAGGTCCAGCGGCTCGAAGGGCTCCAGGTCGGTCGGGCCGCGCCCCTCAGAGCGGTCCATGCTGGGTGACTCGGCGAACGCCCTCTCCCAGTCGCCGGGCGCACTCTCCTGCGGGCAGCGCAGAGACCGCTGTCACAATGCGCCCGGCGACTGGACGGGGCGGCCGCCGGCCCGGCGACCGGGAGTTTTGCACTGGGGCGTCCGCTGCTCGGGGCAATGCTCACAGGGGCGCCAGCGACTGAACGGAGCGCTCTTCGGCGGAGAGTTCCGCAGAGAAGGCCGCTCGGCAACCGGAAACTTCCGCACTGGGGCCCCTGCTGGCCTAGAACCCACACAGGGGCGGCCAGTGCTACCGAGCAGAGAATTTGCACTGGGTCGCCCGGCGACAAAATATCCGTAACAAGATATTCGAAACAGGGTGCCCATCACCCAGTCGCGAAAATCAGTGTGGCGACTTGGCGATACCGATCCAGTTTTCGGCTACTCTGAGATAACGAAAATCCTTATCAATATTGATCAGTATTTATCAGTATTAATAAAACAGCTCTTTTCAGTATTATCTAAAAACATTCTGCTGAATGGTACAAAATTACGGGCGATTCAAAAATGAAAAAAACACAAATGTGTGCGCCATAGGACACATGTTCTGTGTATGAACCTGGCCGATAGATGGATGAACCTGGTCGATAAAGCACTGTCGAAAACTTTTCTGCGTGATTCTAGCTCCACTTCTCCAGTTTTAAGAGCACTCTCCGCGATAAATAGGGAAAATATTACCTTTCAGATATCTACAGTATCTGAAAAAACTTGCCTCGGGCAAGACGCCCCAGATTTATTTTGCTACATAAAATTTTGTCCCACATCACCTGGAAGGCCAAATTTGTGCTCAATGCGTTCTTTGGACATTTTACTTTAAATTGCACCCCTCAAATTCATTCACTTATGATCGGACTCTAAGCTAGGAAGTGCATGATTTGTGAAGCAACTGCAAATGGGGCATTTTGCCCAAACCCCAGGGCAAAACGCCCCACGGCCTGGGGCAAGTAGCCCCATACTTAAGATTACAGATTTAACATGGTAGTTGGCTTAATCTTATGTGAGAGGTCCGTTAGACCTCTGGAGGCACGGCTCTGAAGTTAGCACATTCCATCCTGTCAGGTGTTCAGCTATGACACTATTGT